CCCCAGACACAGGCATGTTCATCATTCATTTACATTAATGAATTCCTGGAACTCTTACATCTCATTTTAACCCTTGAAACTTAGGGCCAGACTTTGACCCAAACATGAACCTAATTCCAACTTTAACCCTGAGATCAAATCTTAACTCTCAGACTGATCTTTGAAGGAGAGAGAAAAGGCAGTGTTTTAGCTTTCAGAGACTTTGGTCGCTCTGACTATAACTGGGCAAGGTTTAATTTAGTTTCATTTATTGTCCTCACTTTCAGTAGCCTCCATGATGCCACTCTGTGGTTTTGGACTATTGATTTCAAAGCTTTAATATTTGTTTTTGTCATCACCATGGTCTTTGTTGGAGCCTGAAGCTCCATATTTGCCTTCATCTGAACAACTGTGTCTCAAAATAGCCCAACAACTCACTCAGTGATGTTTAAAAAAATCATCAGCACTGTTTTTATGACGTGGGAAACTATCCAAAGTCTGTTTAAATAAACTGTAACATGCTTTTTAAATTTGGTAACATTTGTCACCAGCCTCGTGCAGGGACACCTCCAGCAAATTTTGGGGGGTGCCCGGAGCCCCTCTGGCCCCACCTTGGTGGCAGCCCTGGCCTCGTGTGTCTGCTAGAGGAACAGCAGTTTTTTAAGTCTTCAGTATATTCTCCTTTCAGTGATGTCACAATAATCATGAAAGACGGCAAACTTTAATTGCTGACAGACGGCCATGTAGTCTGTTATGTCTGTTCAACAAGAATTTTATTTATTATCATGTAATTTGACCTGCATGTGTGCTTATCAAACTAAAAGAGCTGTACTGTCAGATCCCTTTATAAACAACGATAGACTCCCCGGAGCTGGAGCTACGAGTTTTGTTTCGCCAAAGGGAGACTATCGTTGTTTATAGAGGGATCTGTCAGTACAGCTCTTTTAGTTTTTCAGCTTCAGTCGTGCAGTAAGTGGACTTTTTGCCACTAAGCACTTCCACAGTTTAAGTATATAGATTAGAAGAAGGCCTGTCCCCTGGTAAATCCTGGTTTTGAAACTTTTGTTGTGTTTCCCCTTCTGATTACGGGGAAAACAGAGGGGATGTAGCTGGAGGGAGGAGAAGTTTCCTCTCTTTAATCAGCAGTTTAAAGATTGTTTTTAGGAAAAGTCCCTTTGTTAGAGAGTCCGTCCTTCCTCTTCAGTTATTCTGCAACAGAACGTTTTTAAATCTGAGTGGTAAAGCACGGAAAACTATCAGCCTTCGCCAGTCGCCTGTATGGACTGAGCAGGGATGTCAACATTTCTGTTAAATTCATCATAAGTAAGTAAAATACTTCTTTTATCCTAATTTTTTTTGCCTTTTTCAAATCGTTATGCTTAGTGATTTCACAAGAGATGTGATCATTTGTATAACAGGATATAGAGAATCCAATTTTTAAGTGCTTGACCCAAAATAGAGAGCAGAAATCTTTCTTTTTTGTTTGTTTGTCATCGTTTAACTTTGATGATTAGCAAGGATCCTGCTAATGCTTAAAATTTATTTCTAAGCACTGATTTTGTTCCGTTAAAATAAGGCCTGAGTTAATATTAAATGTTTTAACTCAATCTTTCAAACATTTCAAAAATATTAAGTTGTATCTCTAACTCAGAGGAATTTAGGTTGAGTTGTTTTTTCATTTGTTCATAATTTTCATTCTGAGTGGCAAAAAAAAGGTTTGTTATTGTTTTTAAAGTCTTAAATTAAATTGCCTTAAGCTGCAGAAACCCTGCGATGGTCTAAAACACTAAAACGCTAAAACAGTTCTTTAAACGCTGGGTAGCGTACATGCAAATAGTTTTAATGGATCGCCATTAAAACTATTTGCATGTACGCTACCCAGCGTTTTAAGCAACATGTTTAAAAAAGTTGGTTTCCAGGCTTAATTTTAGGGTGAACATTAGATCACAGACTATGAAGGACTAACATCAGGATGAGGAGTTGGGCAGCAGGAGTAAATTCAGTATGTATGCCTGGCTTTTGGGTATTTCTACAAAGAGAAACAGTCCTGAAGCATTGTGTGGAGTGCTGTTATCGGAGCATGAATCAGACCGCGGTTTAATGTGCTGCTGCTGTTTGTTCATGGTGGAGGGCCGTAGTTGGAATTCCACTCAGTCGTATCAGCAGATAGGATTTGTTTGATGGCTCTGATGTTTGTTGAAATTTGTTTTACGTCACTGTTGCTGGGAAACTTCCTTTAAAGTCCAAAAATATCTCAACACTGAAAAGTTTTATGGGTTAAAACTGGTCAAAACTATTTTGACCAGGTTGTAAAACCATGGTCTCTCTGTAATCTGACCACAGTGTATCACCAGTGGTATAGTTACAAATCACTTTTATAAGATTATACTGCAGTGGCGAGTTTTGAATATGTTTAAGAACAAAATCAACTCAGTGTATAAATAAAAGGTCAGGATTTCTGTTAACTAGGTGCTTTCTTGGAAGATAGCAGGCGACTTTTCACCTCTTTTCACCGACTTTTCATTAACCAATGAGCTGTCACCTGTCACACCCAATCAATTGCAGCAGAT